TATCTAACCCATGAGGTAGACAGAGCTCTAGCTTCTGAGTATGAATGTCACTTCCTGCCTTAGTTACCCCACTAGGGTCTTCTACAGATGGTTCCTCTACAGAGGGTGATTGTGTCTCTTTCCTACAGGACTCATTCCCTACTTCTCATTTCTCTGCTTTCTCAGTTCATAAGACCAAACATTATGTGCAATCAGTGAAACACCTGCTATCATATATAGCCACTACTTCTAATACGAATGTTGGAGTTACAATGCTTCTGTAAAGATGATTATTATTGGAATCTTTTCTGAAGATGAAGGGGAGAGGAACATGCTCACTGTCCACAGACAGGGAGAGCATGTGATAAGGTGCTGCTGCAGCTACTTCCAGTTCCAAGTTGCTTGAGGGTGTTCCTAGGTGCTTGACTTGAAGGTTGAGCTCTGCCATGTGCAGCCAGGGTAGAAGTTGGACAGGGAGGCATCCTTGTTTGGCAGATAAGCTACATTTTGTAGACCACATAATCTGGAATCATGTTGCTCTGTTTGTTATACTTCTCCTCTTGTTTTTTCTTCTAAAATTTTAATAAAGTCATATTCACATATTTCAGTTTCTATCTCAGCTATGTTATAGAGTAGCAGGAAAATATTTTGTCTCCAAACTACAGCCCAAGTGGGAAAGCAGTACCTCTTGAACCTAGCTAGTAATCCTCCAGAAAATGGGAAAGTGTCTGGAAGCAAGAGCTAGAACTTTATAATATCACTGCTTCTCCCCACTTGGAGATTCTCCTTGTAGTGCCATGCTTGGATATCTGGACTCTTTTCTTTTTAAGAGACAGGGTCTCTAGCTCTGTCACTCAGGCTGGCACAATCATAGCTCACTGCAGCCTTGAACTCCTGGGCTCAAGCAATCCTCCTGCCTGTAGTAGTTGGGACTACAGGCACATGCCACCATGCCCATCTAATTTTTAAATTTTTTGTAGAGATGAGGTCTAGCTATGTTGCTCAGGCTGGTCTTGAACTCATGGTCTCAAGCTCCCACCTTCGCCCCCCAAAATACTGGGATTACAGGTGTGAGCTGCCACACCAGGCCTAGATTTATTAAAAAGAAAGTATCTGTTACATCCTGCCTTCCTATAAAGCAGGGGACTGAGATTGGCAGGACCAGTCTGTTGCTTCTGGAAATAGAGAGATTATGAGATAGTCCCAGATAAAAGGGCAAGAAAGACAGGCCCATTTCTCATGTATGGAAGCATTCCCTGTTAGTAAACAAAAAGAGAAAAGCCATGAAGTAAAATACAAAGATGTGGGCTCTTTCATTCTCACAGTCCCTCAGAAGCCATTTGTAAGTTCTAGTTCCTGTTTATCTTGTTCTTTGTTTTTAACTCAAAATAACTAGTATCATTAAAACATTTTTTCCCTTTCTTTTTTTCTTTCTATCACTCAGGCTAGAGTGCAATGGCATGATCATGGCTCACTGCAGCTTCAAACTCCTGGGCTCAAATGGTCATCCTGCCTCAGCCTCCTAAATTGATGGGACTACAAGCATGCACAACCACATTTGGCTACTTTTTTGATATTTTGTAGAGACTAGGTCTTGCTGTGTTGCCCAGGCTGGTCTCTAACTCCTGGGCTCAAGTAATCCTCCCGCCTAGGCCTCCCAAGATGCTGGGATTATAGGTATAAGCCACCGCACCCAGCCCTAACATCATTTTAAAAATCACTCCAATACTTGACTATTCAGTTACTTTGGACTGATGACACCTGATTATTAAGTTATTGTTTGTTTCGGACATGTCGTGACAGAATCTGTCATAAAACATATCTGCTGCTAAAACAGCATGCTTTAAACCTGAATATTTGGATCTCAATAAAAAACCATGATGTAGTTATTTGTTTTGATTTTTTTTGTTTTTGTTTTTGAGTTGGAGTCTCACTCTGTTGCCCCAGCTGGAGTACAGTGGCACACTCGCAGCCACCCCAGTGTTGACCTGCTGGGCTGATGTGATCCTTCTACCTCAGCCTTCCAAAGTAGCCGTAACTACAGGCACATGCTACCACACCTGGCTAATGTTTTTTGACTTATTGTAGAGATGAGGTCTCGTCAAGTTGCCCAGGCTGGCCTCAAACCTGTAGACTCAGGCAACCCCCTCACCTTGGCCTCCCAAAGTGCTGGGATTACAGGCTTGAGCCACCGTGCCCAGTCAATTGTTTTGATTTTAAATATTTTTTCTCCAGCACAGAAACTAAAACTAATAGCCATAAATAGGCTATTAATTAGTCATCAATGAAATGCCCATATATAGCACATAGATACAGCTAGTATGTATGCTTTTATCCCTTACTACTCAAAATATAAGTGTCTGTATGATGTAGAGTTACGTCATAAACATATCTAACTTACATTAACTCAATGCATGTGGTCAGTAGAAAGGAAGCCAGAGATAGGGGAAATTAACATGAAATCCAGTGACAATGCCACCTGTTCAATGAATGCACGCCCTGGAGTAAACTCAGACAAATGCTGTACATTCACTCTTTCTTCACTCACCGTCTGTTCACATTTGCCTCTCCCAGGTCTATCATCTTACAGGGCTGAGTGTGATTCTAGTGTTTATACAAGATGGCCTATCAACAAACACAACTTAATTTGGTCTTCAGACGAAGAAACACTCTTTTCTTCCAACACTGGAGTAAACCTGGTTGTGATGGGACATACAGATTTCCAACACTGCACCTTTCTAAAGAGCTTCAAGGATCATCCTAATAACCCATCTGACCTTATATACTGATGCTAGAAGCTAACCCCTGGGTATGATGCAATTCCACTGTAATGTAAATTATAAGTCCATGATTTTTTAAAAGCTATAGTATTGTCAGTAAAATTTAATTTCTAGTGTAGTTTCTTCCTCACGTTTAGCCCTGTGTTTCTGTGACCCTCTCCTGGTGCCAGCACTTCTGAATGCAGAGAAAATTGAATGGTAAAAAGATTACTGTGTCATAAGATCTAAACAACCAAAGTTGGTCAGATATGATTAAAGATATGATTTTCTTTTCTTTTCTTTTCTTTTTTTTTGAGTTGGAGTCTCACTCTGTCATCCATACTGGAGTGCAGTGGCCGCTCCCAGCCACCGCAGCCTCAACCTGCTGGGCTCTGGCGATCCTTCCGCCTCAACCTTCCAAGTAGCTGGAACTACAGGTGCGTGCTACCACATCCAGCTCATTTTGATTTATTGTGGAGATGAGGTCTCACCAAGTTGCCCAGGCAGGTCTCGAACCCATAGGCTCAGGCAATCCACTCACCTCAGCCTCCCAAAGGTGGGGGATTATAGGCTAAGCCACCGAGCCCAGCTGAAGATATGATTTTCAATTAGCAAATGGTGCCACTAAAGCAGAGAATGACTTTGTTTTGCTAAGTGCTTCCGAGAATCTGTTGTGACCTCCTTTTCATGGGTTTTTAAGTTGGCAGCTACATTCTGCTTCTTAAACACTCGGCCTTAGGCTGACCACCACTCTGGCTCACTTCTATTTTGAAAAGTACCATTCAACTGGAAATGTCATTGCCCGGAATGAACCTGAGATTGTGAATTTGACCACTACCTAAAGCCATATTGCCATAGAGTTTAGGTTAAGTTATGGATTTCTTTGACTGCAACTTTGAAACTAGTTTTAGCTTCTTAGCCATGTAGGATTTCTTTCTTTTTTTTTTTTTTAGTTGGAGTCTCACTCTGTCACCCAGGCTAGAGTGCAGTGGCACGCTCACAGCCACCCCTGCATCAACCTGCTGGGATCCCGCAATCCTGTCTCAGCCTTGCAAGTTGCCGGAACTACAGGCGTGTGCTACCACGCCCGGCTAATTTTTGACTTATTGTAGAGACAAGGTCTCCCCAAGTTGCCCAGGCTGGTCTCGAACCCACGGGTTCAAGCATTCCACTGTCCAGGCTGGTCTCGAACCCTCAGACTCAGGCAATCCACTAGCCTTTGCCTTCCAAAGTGCTGGGGTTACAAGGCTGAGCCACTGAGCCCGGCCACCATGTAGGAGTTCTATCTGGGATGGAAATGAGGGTAAAATATCCCATGGATAACTTCTTCAATAACCATATTTGGAAAATCGCTGACTACAGACAAGATGTCTAGATCCCCGAGGAACAGTGACACGGGCTGGTGGGACAGCTTGCTTGACTTCAGACTCCAGATTCTGTCTCATAAAAAGATCCACAACTTCCTGCCTTTGGTAGAAAGGGCAGGTATCACACGCTCAGGAAATTAAGAAACAGTTTGGGAAGTTCTTCATTTTCTAAAATGACAACCTGTAAGTATGTTTCCAAACCTTATCATCATTGTTCCAGGACTTTGGAGACCCAGTTCCTAAAATGTTTAGAAGGGATTTCTGGAGTTTTTATACATTTCTTGAGCTTTGGGGGTAAAGCATGAAATTCACTCCACCTTTTTTTTAACCACGTGTTTTCTTCCATTCACTAGCACATGTATGTTAAAGACTGTTCATCCCCACCTCCAGGTCAGGGTGCAGACCTCCATGGCCGCACAGCTGGCCAGCAGGGGGCGGGCTCCTAGTTCCTTCACTATCTCCTACACCATTCCCTGTGACTCTGAAACCCACCCAGTCCTGTATGTCTCTTTCTCTGTCTCCCTTCTCTCTCATTATGTCTCTCCTTCTCTGACTTAATCACTAGCACACACTCATCTTTTTACTCTGTTCTCAGAAATATACTATTTTTCAAACTGCCTAAAAAGATAATCAGACTAGATTTGACTTTTAAGTTTTAATAGATTTATTTAGAGTAGACCTCATTTCAAATCATCCCCAATTACCAAATTTCAGAACTTATTTCAGTTGAAGCCAGCTCATTTATTTCCTTTATTAAGAGTTATGTGCCACGTGACCCACAGTTCTGGTGTCCTGCAGCTTTTGGATGTGTGGGCCCCAGTGCTCACATAGAGAAGAAGGGGCAGGGGACCGTCCAGATCTATGGCTACCCACTGAGCAGCTGCTACTCTCCCTTCTGGGGCTTCTTCTGGTGTGTCCTTTCTTGCAGTTCTTCTTCTTCCTTACACTTAAGCTCTTCTTCTAAATGTTTATCTTTGAAGGTGGGCAGTTACCCTCTTCCCAGGATCAGACTCCAAAGAGATTCCTAAATTCCACTTTTTTTTTCTTCGCAGTTCTTTATGTATTGCCATACAGAGAACAGTGTCCACTAAAAACATTATTCCCATGACCAGATAGAAAAGAACATGAAACCAGACAGGGGTTGGTGACTGGAGACCTAAAACAGAAAAAGACAAAGAGGAGATAAACTATTTAGAAACCAAAGAGGTCTGGCTGTATTATGTTTGGAAGAGAAGGCTGACTGAGGCCTGCTGTGCTTGTCCTTAAGGGCAGGAAGGAACTAGAGTCTGCTCCTACTGGGCTATATAAAGTACAGATAGCCGGCAGACTCCTTGGAAGAGTTTAATCTCCAGGTCCTGTCAGTGGCTGTGCTCCCTAGTTTCAGAAGCAACCGTTTTCTCTATGCCCTTGAATGCTTGAATTTATGTTGAAGATGAACTCCGCCCCCCCTCCCCCAAAGTCTTTGTTCCAGAGCTCACAATCCTCTGTCTCAGTTAGATATAGACATTTGGGCAGGGAGTCATGGGCAGTTTACAAAATCATTCTCTTATAAATCCACCATATGAGTTTCTCGAAGCAAAAACTACCCCAGTGTCTTTAGATTCCCAGACCTCTGACAATAGGAAGAACTCAATATTTTGCTAGTGAGAGGGAGGGAGGGAGGGAGGGAGGGAAGGAGGGAAGGCGGGGGAGAGACAGAAGAGACAGGGAGAATAGAAAGGTAGGAGATGGGTGGAGAGTAGGAGGAAAGGAAAAGGAAAAGAAGGAAGGAGAAGAAAAGGAAGGACAAAACAAAAGAAAGAAGGAGGAATGAAAGGAAAAGAAAAAAAAGGACAGGAAATTTAATGACGTTTATGAGGAGAATAGTGACATCTGAATCACGGATGGAAAGGTCTGTTCATGGGATTTGGAGATTTCCCCTTCCTGGCTGGGCCATGAAACCTCTTAGCAAACCTTTGTCCCATGTGCCAGTCACTTCCCACCATTCTCACTCACCAAGCACTTGGAACTCCAAGTTAGGGCTGCGCTTAAGGATATTTCCATCTTCTGTGACTGCCTCACACCAGTAGGACCCAGAATCTTCTCTCCTAGCAGTTAGTATCTGGTATTCAGAAGATGTGTTTTTGCCTTGCAGGGTCTTGGTGCCCATGTAGATGGAGAAGTAAAGCTGCAAGTCAGGTCTCTCTGGGAGCAACTTTGTTTCACAGCTCAGGGTGACCAGAGTTCCCTCTAGGATGGGCAATGCCAAGGATGCTCTCAGCACTGGAGGTGAAAATAGCTCTAAAGAGAAAGTTGATGGGGGGACAAAGATGCCTAGTTAGTGTCGAGGTTATTTTCACAAAAGACATACCTTTTCCCCCCTTGGGAAATCTACCCCTATAATGCATCCCAAAGGCAAAACTTTTCCTACTGCTAGCAGAGAAGCATTCTTGGGGCTGCCTAATACATACAGTATAATTACAGTTACCAGCTTGCTCAGTGCTTTTGAGGAGGAGACCTTTACATGGCCCATGTTTCCCTGAATGGCCATATTATCTCTTAAATAGCCATACCCCTTTGGCAGTGGTTGACCAGGAGTGAACACTGACCCACACATTTGTCAGTTCAGTAACTCATTACTCGTGTTTCTGACTCAAAAGATAATCTGAGACAATAATTTCTTTTCCACAGGAACCAATTTTTCTTCAGACAGAAAAATGTTGCTAATAATTGTATAAACTAAGAGGAAAGGTCATGCAAGAGTCAGAACGAGGCCCTGTGCAAACTGGAATAGAAGAAACTGCTTGGTCTGCAGATGCTTAGAAAGAAGTGGGACCAGAGAGGCCATGTTGTTTCTGAGAGATAGATGGAAATTATAACCAGTTCCTAATGTATTGGTTTCTATTTCTATGGAAACTTCATGAGATTCCATAGTATCATATTCTAATAACTCTCTTAGCTACCTTGAGTGAGTCTTTATTTCTTGCAATAATAAAATTGATGTAATGGATCCCCATTATGTTCTGACTTTGACATTAGCTCCTGTGATTATCTATGGACACTGTGATATACTGGAAAGAGCAATGGACTGAGACCCAGAGACTTTAGTTCTGGTCCCAGCCCAGCCCCTGTTCATTGTGTGGCCTTTAAGAAGGCAGTTCACCTCTCTGGAGCTCAGTTTCTTTACTTGTAAATCAAAGTGAGGAGTTTAGATGATTTATGTTGGTCCTTACAACAACAGCTCTGTGACTATTCAGATACAAAATTTTTCACAGTGACAGATACTCCTGCTGATGTGTAGTGATGCCTTCCCTTGCCTGAGCAGTGATACATGCCATTGTGACTTATGTTGGTTTTTTTCCTCAGGAGATTTCCCCTTCCTGGCTGGGCCATGAAACCTCTTAGCAAACCTTCGTCCCATATGCCAATCGCTTTCCACCATTCTCACTCACCAAGCACTTGGAACTCCAAGTCAGGGCTGCGCTTAAGGACATTTCCATCTTCTGTGACTGCCTCACACCAGTATGACCCAGAATCTTCTCTTCTAGCAGTTAGTATTTGGTATTCAGAAGATGTGTTTTTGCCTTGCAGGGTCTTGGTGCCCATGTAGAAGGAGAAGTAAAGCTGCAAGCCAGGTCTCTCTGGGAGTAACTTTGTTTCACAGCTCAGGGTGACCAGAGTTCCCTCTAGGACAGGCAATGCCAAGGATGCTCTCAGCACTGGAGGTGAAAATAGCTCTAAAGAGAAAGTTGATGGGGGAACAAAGTTACCTTGTTAGTGTTGAGGTTATTTTCACAAAAGACATACCCTTTCCCTTGGGAAATCTACCCCTAGAATGCATCCCAAAGGCAAAACTTTTCCTACTGCTAGCAGAGAAGCATTCTTGGGGCTGCCTAATACATACAGTATAATTACAGTTACCAGCTTGCTCAGTGCTTTTGAGGAGGAGACCTTTACATGGCCCATGCTTCCCTGAATGGCCATATTATCTCTTAAATAGCCATACCTCTTCGGCAGTGGTTGACCAGGAGTGAACACTGACCCACACATTTGTCAGTTCAGTAACTCATTACTCGTGTTTCTGACTCAAAAGATAATCTGAGACAATAATTTCTTTCAGACAGATAATTTCTTTCAGACCAATTTTTCTTCAGACAGAAAAATGTTGCTAATAATTGTATAATCTAAGAGGAAAGGTCATGGAAGAGTCAGAACAAGGCCATGTGCAAACTGGAATAGAAGAAACTGCTTGGTCTGCAGATGCTTAGAAAGAAGTGGGACCAGAGAGGCCATGTTGTTTCTGAGAGATGGAAATTATAACCAGTTCCTAATGTCTTAGTTTCTATTTCTATGGAAACTTCATGAGATTCCATAGTATCATATTCTAATAACGCTCTTAGCTACCTTGAGTGAGTCTTTATTTCTTGCAATTAAAATAAAATTGATATAATGGATCCCCATTATGTTCTGACTTTGACATTAGCTCCTGTGATTATCTATGGACACTGTGATATACTGGAAAGAGCAATGGACTGAGACCCAGAGACTTTAGTTCTGGGCCCAGCCCCTTTTCGTTGTGTGGCCTTTAAGAAGGCAGTTTACCTCTCTGGAGCTCAGTTTCTTTACTTGTAAATCAAAGTGAGGAGTTTAGATGATTTATGTTGGTCCTTACAACAACAGCTCTGTGACTATTCAGATACAATACCTTTCACAGTGACAGATACTCCCGCTGATGTATAGTGATGCCTCATTCCCTTGCCTGAGCAGTGATAGATGCCATTGTGACTCATGTTGGTTTTCAGAATTGTGAGTTCAAGATTCTGAGGAAAAAACTTAAAGGCTTTGCCATTTTTATAGAAAACCACATTGTATACCAGCTTATTCCTCCATACATGACACCTCAAGGCCAATGGTTCTCCTTCTGTGACGACTCTGCTAGAGACCTGGAGCAGTAGCCAGTCTGAAAAATATGGACCCAAAATATATGCATACAAGTTAGGAGGCCAAAGCTTGACCCTGTGGCTTTCTTATTTTTCCCTCCTTGCAGTATTCCAACCTCAGATCTTTGCTAAATTTCAGGCCTATGTCTTCAAATATCTTTAACTTTGGTGGAAAGAAAAGTAACCTTTATCAGCAACTGCGCACACAGCCTGTTCTTGTCTTCCCCCTTCCAGATCAGAAAAGTTGGTCGTAACAAAGACAGTTTACACAGCAAGACAGAATTCTAAGATGACCCCAGTGAGTCACTTTATTGTATGATCCCGTCAAGTGTGGGTGGACCCTATGACTTGCTTCACCAACAGATTATGACACAGGTGATGGGATATCACTCTTATGATTGTTATATAAGATTCTATCTTAGCAGACTGGATGGAGAAAGTCTACTGCTGGCCTTGAAGAAGTAAGCTGCCATGTTGTGAGAGGGCCTATCAAAGGGCTACAAGATAAGGATCTCTGGGAGCTGAGCGGCTTCCCCACTGACAGTCAACAAGGAAGCAGGGACCTCAGTCCTACAATCGCAAGGAACTCAAATTTGCCAAGACCTTGTGAGCTTGGAAGAGGTACTAAAAGGAACACAGTAAAGTCAACACCCTGATTGCAGCCTGTAATCAGGCTAAGCAAAGTGCCCATCTAAGCTGTCCCATAAGTCCTGACCCATGGATATTGGGAGATAATAAATACATATTGTTTTAAGCTGCTGAGCTTGTGATAATTTGCTACATGGTAATAGAAAACTAATACAATCTAACTCCTGACAAATTTGTTAATAGACTACACATCCTAAGACAAACACACAGAAGGGCAAACACATCCAGATGGAAATAGTCTACTGAATTGATAGGAATAGTCACATATGCGCAGATCAGTGACATAGCAAAAACAAGCTCCAAGTCAAATGGACTCTCCCTCTTGTACATTTCTGCACATAACCAAAAATGCTTCATTTACTTTTCTTTCCCCAGGGCCAGTTGGTTTGGCTAAATAAAGATGAGATTCTTGGGGGACAAAGTAAAAGAAGAGACAGTAATGCTTTTGCCCCCTCCAGAACTCATCTAAGAATGGAAAGCAGATGTTCCAATGCTATACGCAGTAAGTTTTTTACAACTTTGGATATGGCCATAGTGCTTCTATATAGAACTAATACTCTTCCCTCCCTTATTCCCATCCCTAATCAAGAAGTACTAATTGCCCAAACACACAGATACCTTTGCTTTACAGATCTAAAATATAGTGAGAAATTTTAATATACTTCCATCAGAAATAGTCAAAATACTAGTAATGATAGGAAATATTTGAATTGACCGGGCTCGGTGGCTCAGCCTATAATCCCAGCATTTTGGGAGGCCGAGGTGAGCGGATTGCCTGAGCCCATAGGTTCAAGTCCAGCCTAGGCAACTTGGTGAGACCTCATCTCTACAATAAATAAAAAATTAGCCGGGCATGGTAGTGCGCATCTGTAGTTCTGGCTACTCAGAAGGCTGAGGCAGAAGGATCACTAGACCCCAGCAGGTCGAGGTTGTGGTGGCTGTGGGCATGCCACTGCATTCCAGCCTGGATAGCAGAGTGAGACTCCAACGCAAAAAAATAAAAAAAAAAAAGGAAGAAAGAAAATATTTGAATTACACAATTAATAGACTTGATTTTGTGGAATGCTATCCCTTAGAAAGAGAAAATTCATATATTTTCCAAACACACATGCAACAGTTATTAAAAAATTGAGTGTGTACTAGGCCACAAAGCAATTTTCAACAAATACCAAGGAACTGATATCATATTTAACACAAATTCTGACCAAAGTGCCATAAATTAGAAATCAATAACAAAAGCCTATCCTCCAAAAAACTTCTAAATAGTTCATGAGTAAAAATTATAATGGAAAACTTTAAAAAAATTACCTTAAATGGTAATGGGGAACTTACATATCAAAATTTGTAGGCTAAAGCTTTCGGCAGAGACTAGTAATTTCCTACTCAAAAATCATTTCCCCATCTTCATGAGCTTGCAGCAGGAAGGGAACAAGGGGACACTCATTCTAAGTCATATGACTAGAAATTGAGTTCACTAACCAGCCTCATTTTCTTGGTCCCAACATACACAGACTAAATTGAAGTGTCTGAAAGTGAGTGTGGCTGCAATTGAATCCTCTTCTGCTGACTAAATGTAGTGAAATATTTTTCAAATGGGCAGAGAGAGTACCACCAAAAAAACTTCAGGCATTATGCTGCCATAAAATTAAGACATTTTGTTCATTAAAAAAAAAAAAAAAACTACGAAAAGACAAGCCACAGAGGAGAGAAGATATTTACAACACTTGAAAAAGAATATATATTCAGACTATATAAAGAACTCATATAGGTCAATAAGAAAAAGATTGACAACAGAAAATTGTCAAAAAACAAACAAAAACCTGAGCAGTCATCTTATAAAAGAGAATATCCAAACAGGTAATAAACATGTGGAAAATGAGCAGTAGCACAGTCATCACGGGAATGCAAATAAAAACCACAATGTGGTACTCCAACACATCCACCAGAATGGCAAAAATGAAAAAGAAGGAACATACCTAGTGTTGATAAAGATGGAGAGCAACCCAAAGTCTCATACCCTGTGGAGGTGTAAATTGGTACAACCACACTGAAAAACTTTTTAGCAGTATCTGCTAAAACTGAATATGTGCACACTTTGTGATCTGGCAATGCCACTCCTAGGCATTTTCCAACATATACCTATACAAATGTGCACCAAAAATAATGTTAAAAGAATGTTCATAGCAATACTATTTGTAAGAGGTCAAAAAACTCAAGTCCATCAGTAAAATGCAAAAATGTGGAATATTTTACAGTAATAAGAACAAATGAACTTCAACTACACAACATATACAATTTCTCAATTGTAATTTGAGAAAAAAGCCAGCCAAAAAAAGTACACCCTGTACCATACTGTAGTCATTTATATAAAGTTGAAAAATAGGCAAAAATCTATGGTGTTAGAAGTCTGTGTTGAAAGGTGGACTAGAAATGGGCAAGAAGGACTTTTTGATATCCTGGAAATGTTCTATTTCTTGATTTGGATGCTGTTTGCTTTGTGAAAATTCATGGAGGCATACACTTATGGTTGGCTGTATATGTTATATACTTCAAAAAAATTCACATTAAAATGTAACATAGGCCAGATGCAGTAGCTCATGACTGTAATCTCAGCACTTTGGGAGGCTGAGGCAGGAGAATTTCTTGAGCCCAGGAGTTCAAGACTGCTTGGGCAACATGGTGAGACCTCATCTCTACAAACAAAAAAAGTATATCTCTATTGTTATAAACAGACCTCCAAGGTATTGTAAGCGATAAAAGGATCGCATAGGACAATATATGCAGAGTCTTCTACCAACAATAGTTTTTAAAAATGTATGTATATATTTTTTTCTTTAAAAAATCCTTTCAGCCGGGCTTGGTGGCTCAGCCTGTAGTCCCAGCGCTTTGGGAGGCTGAGGTGAGTGAATTGCCTGAGTCCGCGGGTTCAAGACCCGCCTGGACAACTTGGTGAGACCTCATCTCTACGATAAGTCAAAAAATCAGCCGGGCATGGTAGCGCGCGCCTGTAATTCCGGCTACTCGGAAGGCTGAGGCGAAAGGATCACCGGAGCCCAGCAGGTCAAGGCTGTGGTGGCTGGGAGCGGCCACTGCACTCCAGTCTGGGCGACAGTGAGACTCCAACTCAAAAAAAAAAAATCCTTTCAATTAATATTAATACATACACAGTAAGTTCCATACAACATACATATACAGTCTGACAAATACTTCTAAAGCAAGCATCCATGTATGTATCCAATGACAAAAATGTGTGTATATTAAGTTATGTTTCTGTGGAATGTGACTGCAGGACTAGAGCTTTGGAGTGGGAGGAAAAGTTTCATTATTCATCATTGCACATTTGTCTGATTTCTTATTATTTACTATGTGTAGGCATATATTTTGAGTAACGATAAAGTCTTAGCATCTGAGTCTTATTCTAGGTGCCCCATGTACAGCTGGCCTAGCCGGGTTGCTGCTGGTGCAGTTTAAGGACCCTGGAATGATGTTTTGGTATACTAACTTAATCTTACCTAGTAGGCACATAGACCTGAGAGCCATACTCAGATATATTGACACACACATCTGGCATCCAGAAAAGAGAAAACACAAAGGAAGGTTTTGTGATCTCCAGCCCTCCTGCCCCATGCCATACTTACCTCTGTGGATTTCCAGCTGTACAGGGTCACTTAGCACCGAGAGATCTGTATGGCACTGATATGCACCACTGTCTTTGACACTGGCAGAAGCGATGTTGTATCTGGGAGTCAAAGTCTGAATGGCTGTGCCGTTGAGAAACCACCGTGTGGGGTTGCTCCCAGGCAGATAGGGCCCTTCACATGATAAGGTTACAGTTTCCTCTGGGAACACATTAACCCATGGAGGCTGCAAGGTGATCACTGCCTTTGTGGAGTCTGCTTGGAGAGTTAAAAAAAAGAAAAAGAAGTGGAGAAGTGGAGTAAAACGGAGGGCTCTGAGCAATTGGTTAGGTTTTGTGGATAGCACAGGGAAAAAATGCACATTTAGATTAGTTTAAAATATAGGCAAGTGGGAACCTACAAAAGCCAGCCTTTAAGAGTGTCCAGATCTTGCTGCTGGGAGCTCTGTTCATGTTATTAACTCTTCTTCTGACTGTTTGGGATTTGAGGCTACCGAGGATCAAATTACTGATTTAGGTCTTTCTGTTAGCAAGCAATGAAGCAGAGTTTTAAACTAGGGCAAACAGAATGGAGCTGGTTTCCTTACCTCTGTGCTATGCTCTCTTTGAGGGAAAAGCACAGATTTTCATTAGCTTCTGCATTGGGAAGAGAAGTTCAAACTCTTCCCCTGAAGCCTTCAGTACGTGCCTGGCTCTTTCTGAGGAGAAAAACATAACTTGGCTTTCTTGTAAATGGGAACTGGTTTAGGGGTTGTCAGAAAACCCAGCAAAGCTACTTCTGTGTTTTTGTGCAATTCTGGCCCTGTCCTTCTACTCTGTGTATGTGTGTCTGTGTGTGTGTGTGTGTGTGTGTATTTATATATTTAGTTCAGAGGCCAGGGCTCATACAGAAAACCTTAGAATTGAGGTTTTTATCAAAAATCACACTCTGAATATGGGAGATTTTACAGAATTTATAACTCTTTCTCTTTCTATCCTCTCCCTACACTCTTCTTCAAGTTAATAGGACCCATCCTTTGGGAGCAGGAAAATAGCTAGAAGGAAAATTTGAGGTAGAGATCACTCACTCTCTCGCCCATCAACTGGAACTGCAAGAGATCAGAGAATAAAGATATCAGTGGGTCAGTAGGAGATGACAAGGAAGGGAGAATTGGGCAGACGGAATTAATGGACACTGAGGGATTAGCTTAGGTCTCCTGAGTGTCTATCTGCCTTTCCCAAAATCAGGTACTAGCAGAAACTGAACATCCTACAGGTGATTACCAATGAGGCATTATTTTGGTATGACGCTTCCGAGCTTCACGCTCCCTCAGGGGCCTCCTTCCCATCCTTCTGATGTAATAAGCACGAATAAGCCATGGACACACAGATGCATTTGCCTCCATACTCATGAGTTCTAGCTGAAGGACAAAAAATCTTGACTCCCCATATCCACAGCTTGTACCTTTCCAGCCCCACTTCCCCTAGAGCCCAACTTACCCCAAAGGAGCAAAACTGTCAAGAGCAACATGTTATCTTCAAGTTGTCAATGGTGAAATCTGTAACAATGAAAGACATTGAGGAGGTCCTGCTGGGGACTCTGGAGCCCAGATTAGAAATGAGGAAGGAAATTGCCACTTCTGGCAGCTTTCATTATGTTCCTTTTCTGGGAAACACATCCCTAATTCTTAAAGCATACTTTTCCTATTCTCATACCTCTTTACCCAACTCTCCCAGCTTGAAGGCCTGGTTTTGGGGTTATGTACTCTTAGAATCTAGGAAGAGGGCTAAAGTTTTATTGACATTTTATTCTGATTGTTATCTCCCTCTACTATCTCTGTTTCTTAGGGCTAGAATATGGCAAAACTCTACTTTTATAATCGACCTGGATAATGCTCCCCAGACCTGATCATTTAAATCCAGAAGTTTCTACATCAGCATCTATGAGGCATGTGAAAAGTTACTCATCTACAAGAGTTTTCCCAATACAAATTAGCCTCTATTTCTCTGGGGTATACAGGTAGATCACTTTCCCATTTTGAATTTTTTTTTTAAAAATGCCCCCTTGCTGAAAGACATTGTGAATTTGGAGTGTTTATCTTAGCTAAATCCGAAGAAATTAAATGTTTAATGTGCATACTTAGAGAAGAAAAGTAATTCATACATATAAGTAGAAATATCCCCCAAGAAGGGAGTTTCAGGGCACATGTGCGAAACTGTGCCACCAAAGGAAGTTGGTTCCTGAGGCTGAATTGTAAAGCTATAAAGAGATTTTTAGATATTCTATTATTCCATTAAGATGGAGAGAGAGAGAACTAAGCAGGACCTAGGATGAGTTCAGTGAGTATAAAAGGGACTTGGGTAGCCACCTCACTGGCAGAGAATGAAAAATGTTGACAAGTAACACCGTAGATTGAGTTACTGGCCCCAATTTTCTCAACGCTCTCTGAATCTGGTCTATTTCCACAGCCTCATGAGAATACCTCCTTGACTTTTAACTCTGGCTCATCCACATGACTTTTATTGGCTGATGAAATGTGGATGGAAACAATATTGTGCTAATTTTGAACTCAGAACTTAAGAAGCTTCCCACAGTATGTCTCACCATCTGCAACTATCATAACAAGAACATTCTCTGACTAGCCTGTCATAGTGTGAAACAGAGCTCTCCTTGACATTATATCTTGAAGCAGAGCTGCCCCAGCTGCCTTGAAATCTTGTGAGTGAAAAACGAATGCTTACTGTTGTATTTCACCAAGATTCAATGATAGCTAGAGAGCAATAGCTGACTGATACAAAGAGGAAGTAAGGAAGAAATGTCTGGGAAGAACTATGATGTCCTGAGAGACATGAGAGAAGCCTCAGCTCATTGAAAGTAACATCCAAAGCCTGTATCAATAGCTGTTTTACTATTTTGTTTCCAAAGTTTTCCACAGTATGGATCTACCATAATTATTTCACCAACCTCCCTTCATGGACATGTAGGTTATTTCCAATTTATTTATTTATTTATTGAGACAGTCACTCTGTAGCCCAGGCTGGAGTGCAGTGGTGAGATCCCAACTCATCATAGCCTTGACCTCCTGGACTCAAGCGATCCTTCTGTCTCAGCCTCCCAAGTAGCTGGATCTATTGGTGCACGCAGATGTGCCCAGTTAATTTTTGTATTTTTTGTTGAGGTGAGGTCTCACTATGTTGCCCAGGCTGGTCTCAAACTTCTAGGCTCAAGTGATTCTTCTGCCTCAACCTCTCAAAGTATTGGGATGATAGGTATGAGACACCATGCCTAGCTGATTATTTCTAATTTTTTTGTTATGACCACTACTGTGATAAGTACTCTTGTGCCTCCCTTTAAACATTTGATGTGGTATTTCTTTGGGACACATTCCTAGAATCAGCAATGCTCACTTCAAGGAAATGAACATCTTTTTTTTCCTTTGGATAGATGCTGTCAGATTGCCTATGATCATTATCATCATTATTGCATAAACATAAAGTGCTTATTATATGCCAAATAAATATGCTTGATACGTATTTTCTTATCTAATCCTCACAGTAATCTATGAGTAGACACTATTGTTATTTTCATTTTACACATAAGAAATGTGTTTTTACCAGTCAAAAGAGGAGGTCAGTAACTTATCTGAGATTATAAAAAGTAGAAGCAAAATTCAAAACCAAGCAATTTGATTTCCTTTACATTTTCACCAATAGAGAGTATGATAGTGCCCACCCTATCCCTTGCAATTCCTACTTTGTAGTAAAATATCTGCTTCTTGAAAAAATAAGTTAACTAGTTTCATTGATCAAGATAACATGAAGAAATCTGTTGTTGTGGAAGGGGAAGTTAAGATCCATGACCTGTAAAGATGAAATATTTTTTTCTATTAAGTATCTATAATTTCCAAGTGTTAAGGACATAGCCACTTAAATCCATGCAAGAATAAGTAGGAAAATGGGGCAAACATTGTAACTAATGCAGAGTAGTCTCCAATATTTAATGACCAAGGAAAATCATGACACTCATAAGAACCATTAGGAAGAGTTTACATCCATATGTGACATTTCTATTTTCATATATTGATAATCTTTTATAATGCCAGCATACTCAGGTTTTAAAATCGCTTCACAAGTACACTTTTTTCAAAGATAGATGCAAAGTCTTATTTATTTAATTTTAACAAAAATTTTTCCCTAAAATGATTGTGAAAACTTACTTGATTTTTTTTAAAGGTAAGAGAATTTTAATCTCATAAAGAATTAATCAAAATTCATTTTATTTTTAAACTCTTTATGAGTAAAAAAACTCAGTAACACTTTATTTCCTACTCAATTTCTTATTTAATGACCATATGTATGTTTTAGAAACTACTGAAATGTAATAACTAAATTTTAAGTCAATAATTGTGTATAATTATCTGTAGCATAAATGTGCTTAGTATGTTTTAGTATACTGTTGCAACAGCTCTTGAACAGGTGAAATATACTACTTTTACATACTTGCTAATAATAGACATGTTTTTCAAGAAATTCACATAAAACTTACCTGATGTTTTTCTTCAACTGCCATTCATTATAAAAAGTCTCCCAGTGGTTCAATTTTGTTTACATTAGAAACTCAATTGATTTTTTATTCTTACTATTTTATACATTTTTAAAAAGCCTCATCTATGATTTTATAGTAACTTTTATAGTTAATTTATGCTGGTGTTATTATTTGTATTTTAAAGATTGTCTCTATTTGATATGGACCTATTTCCTCATCCCCTGATTTCATCTTTTTTTGTCATCATGAATATAGCTATCAAGCCCTTTGTCGAATTTTCCTGTGTCCTTGAGATTCCTTCCAAAGCATTTGAATGATCAACTCATTATAAACTCAGTCTGTTTGCTTTTGCATATACATTTTTTCATCATTCCCAAGATGGCAAGGTCACTCATTTTGATTTTGTTCTTGCAACACAGCAGCAAGATAAGGAGAGGAGAAGGGTTAAAACATTTATGTAGCTTCTGTTTATAAAAATAGCCATTGTCTGAAGCAGAGAAACTCTTCACGTGAACATTTACCCCAACTTTTAACTGCCTCATAGCGTGACTCAGGTGCAGACGCTGCAGCCCTGAAAGGCCCTCACCTGGTATTAAGAGTAGGGGAGAGCACAGTGGTTTGTTAGATCAGAGAGCATGGAAGCTCAGATCTTCCCTGTCTCCTAAGCCAGCACCATCGTCCCCAGCACCATCTTGTGTCAGGAATGCCTCTTCAGAATCTTGGTGACAAGGACAGGAGGGGAGACTGAGGCAGGGGATTCTGGGTAGAAAGGGTAGAAGGGTCAGAAAGGTAGGTGAGGTAAGAGGTTGACCACAGACTCTTCCTACTTCCTTTGTCATTGTTCCACTCCAGGGGAAGAAAAAAAAATCTTTATTTCCTTTTAGAACTTAGAAAAGTTGAGTAATATTTTATACAAAGGAAAAAACTGTCTAATATATATATGTGTATATTATTAATGATGCACAATAAGGAAATGAACATTTATGAACTGAGGCAGGCACAGTTAACATAGTTTAGAAGTAGTTAGGCAGACTTTCTTAGGCAGGTCTAATTTAGAAGAGGGTAAGCATTCAGACATTTTTCTTATCCATACACAACCTTCACCCAATCAACCAGGCATATCAGACCTGACTACCTTGTGGGCTGAAATATGGAACTACCAGTACAGTAAATCACAGAAACAACAAGGAATTACCTCATACACAGACATGATGTTCTAAAAAAAAGTCCAAATCTAGTTAGACAATAACTTTCATTATTTAGAAGGTCCTTGTGACCTTAGAAGGTTAAGAGACGGTAATTCAACTCATGACCAAGTACCTGCTCTCTGCTCCTCACTCATGGCCTGGCTGGCTTCATCATCATTATAAAAGTATATAAAGCATCTTGTCAAAGGCAATCACATGCCCTTTCTCTTAAGGCACTCATGCTTTCCTCGAACATGCTCCTTTTCTTTCTAATAAACTCTTTCTTAAATTGTACTTTGAATTTGCCCTAAAATTCTGTGGCAAAATCAAGAACTCATGGAGCAACACATCCCATCTAGCATTGCCCCCCCCCCCCACCTCTCCTCTCTCTCTCTCTTTCACTCACTCTCTGTTTTGTTTGTACAAGATTTTATTTAGGTCTTTACAGAGCAACATCCAGACTCCAGACATAGCTGCCAAGGAAACCCTGTTATGCCATGGGGACTGACTGGGCATGGCAGGCAGCTCTGGCTTTCCACCCTTCTGTTCTGAGGTAGGGATGGCGGGCAGGATCTCATGTTTGGGTTCCACAACGTTCACGTGGTCAGACAGGGACTTCTTAGGGCTAATCAATATTATACAATAACCTATAATTCTGTGTTATGATATGCTTTAAAACCTTTATTATTTAACAAACTTTCCACTATAAAAATTTTAAGTTCTCAAGTCAGTCTTCCTGACCTTATAAAAAAAAATTTTTTTTAATATTGGATTTTCCTGAAGTCCAAGGAGACACTT